GAAATTAGTCAAATTAGTTTAAAAAATAGCTACTTGCCTTTTTTAAATAAATTTGGTTGTTATTCAAATGTAAAAAAAGTGGATTCTAATAGTAAATGATTTTCTTTCATTTATAAAAATGAAAAAGTTATTTGTAAATACATACAGTACAATACATACTATTTTTTTTTAAATCTGTATGTTTATGCATAAGCCTGTGACTCCTACGGGCTGAACTGACAAGAGGTTGAAAGTATATGTTATATACAATCAGTGTGAAAAATATTTACTCACTAAATTTCAGACTTTTGACAAATTGTTGATATTTGAACTATTATAATTTTGTAAAAGCGTGTCATACAACAACAAACCTGGATTCATTTTAAATCTTGAAACTTCTACTTATGTTATGCAGCATCCATTTTCCTGTACCATGTTTTTGCTGAATATAACAGGTGGGAAACTGGAGACATGCACTTTCTGGAAAATGTTATGGAATGAGACATCTGTAAATATATTGGAAATTTTGTTCACAACTGATCCTAATATAGACTTCAAGATTAAAGCCTACCCATTGCAGTAACCTGTTAAACTTTGATGTATAACTTTTTTTTTTAATTACTCTATTGAGATTCGAATGAAAAGTATATTGTCTACATTATAGTAGCACAAGATTCACGAGTGCTTTATATGACCGAACTTGTTCCTCTTTTCTATTTCATAAAAGATAAAGTTTCAATATTCAAAGCCATGGTTGATTTATTTGTGAAAAAAGTTTTCAATGGTTTTGCATAGTTTCAGTTTATAACATTTTCAAGTAATCCTGTCTCTTTAGTTTTCTGTTTGCTATGAGTTGTAAAAACATGGTAGGAAGAAATGATCAATGAATTGCGAAGGTAGAAGCTTCTAGCTTTAAAACAAGACGAGATTTATTAGGGCATGACCGTTTTTAACAAAATTATAACAATTACAATTTCGATAATTTGTCAAAATCTGAAATTTATTGCAAGATTACTTTTATGCTGACTGTATGAGCTATATACATGTACATGATGTCCTATATCCTGAAACAAGACTCAGAAGTTTAACCTTATTTCCCTTGAAACAACATTTTTCAAACTGGCTTTCATAATACCTCAATAATGAATTGACCAATCTTCACCAAATTTGACACACATACATATGTATAGAATAGGCATCCCTTCATCTTGTGATGTAGGTTCTCTTTTAGTGAAGTTTCGATTTTACCAAATTTCGGCTTCATGCAACTGCCATTTTATTAATAAATTATATTTTTGCATGATTGTAATTCACAATATATAGATTAACCTTTAGACAACCTTAGACCTTTATATAGATTATCCCTCGGCCTGCCAACCTTGGCTCACATTTAATTACTAAAATACATAAACAATTCTATGCTCACTGCTCACTTCCTATCAGTATTCAATATTCAGTCGAACAGTGATGTACTATGTTAAAAAATTGCTAATTACGTGCACAAATTGTAAAAATGACGAATATAAAATAATTTTTCTGTATTTTGTATTCATTTTATTATTTTACCTATCCTTTAAATGTATAATAATACATAATTTTAATAGAAAAACTATTTTTAAAGTATACATTAGTATGAATTCGAAAATACCCAAGGTTGGTCTCCTGCATCTTGGCGGAAGATCGACCTTCTAAGGATTAAGATAAAGCCATGACAAATTATATGCTATGGGAATCATACAATAATGTTAATAAAATTTAAAAACTTTGTACTTGTAAGAACTTAATCAAACTTTGATCACAAAAATTGTTTAAAATTGATGACTCTGAATAAGAATACACAATTAAACGATACAGAGGTTGTCGTTTTGAGTTATACATACTTTGACTATTAATTTAACATTACTTCGTATTTCTTCTTTCATCGGTAAATTAGGTTATGAGTTAAATCTTGTTGTGTGGTAACAGCATAAAGCAACGCCTCTTTTAAAACATCTACAAGTACTGTGAAGTGCTGTTCGCGATAGGAATAGCAATTGCTTTTTAAGATCGATCTTAAGATCGATCTTTTTGATCCGACGCTCTGTCTGCCCTGAGAATATCGGCAAACTAGTTAAAAAGACCCTGTCTCAGCTTGACATCGTCGAACTGAGCGGTAGAGAGATTGCGCTATAAGCAGGGATGGACCCAAAAAGACGCAATCCGAGATAGGAACGATCTTGTTAACACCTGAGATTATAATACGATAGCGCCATCGTAAATCGTGGCTACCTATGGCTATGTTCGCGTGGTCACGCAACAGTACAGTACAGTCAAACCTGTTATTGTGCGGTAGATAGGAACCGCAGAACAAAAATCGCATAAAAAAGACCGCACAAAAACAGGTTTGACTGTGCTTCCTTCTAGTAAACTCATGCGGGGTGTAATGTCGTCGGAATCTAGATCGCCGCCATCTTAATAATCACCATCGTCATGACAGCGTACTTATTCGAATGACAAATAGCATGAGGATCAGTATTATAGTAACAGCGATAAAAATATACCTAGCCAGCGAAACAGTAAAGTTAGGATTAGGCAGTCATTTTCGAGTAGGAGATACAATAGAAAGGAATGCCAGTTGCAAGCAGTAAAAGAGCGGAACCAGGAACACTCCATATGGAACCAGGAACACTCCATATGGAACCAGCGAGGAAAAGCGGGGCTAAAGGAAGACAGTTTTACGATTTTCCTCAAGGGTTTCGGGATCACAATTTAGCATTAAACCTTCATCGGAGAAACTAGTACGGAAATTGGCCTGCGTCTTGCATCCCATACGTGCACATTCCAGACTACTTTCTCTTGAGCTCTCGGCACGAGGATAAAATTTAAAAAAGTCACTGTCGGTCATATCTATTCAAAACTGTGTGTATGATTATAATGTGTATGATTAACTATGATTAACTATGTGTATGACTCACTTAATTTCAAGTGAGTTCTCCGAGCGAATATTAGAAAGATCAAATAATTAATAATATAATATAATAATTAACCCGTAATATAATTAAAAATAGTAATATAATAATTATCCCGAAATGAAATAATTAAATTCGATTCATTTTCCTATACTTCAGATAAGATTTTAAAAAGAAGCGGCTCAAATATCCTGGGATTCTTACTCCGACATATTCGTCAGATAGTACATTTTGATATAAATTTTTTTTTTTTAGAAAAGTTGCGATATTCCGAGCTATTTAACAAAATATGTACCATAACCGATCTCAAACCCATGTAGGGTGTCCCAAAATTATGTTACAAGCTGAAAATGTGGGGATCCTAAGGTCATTTACTTTTTCCGTAAAAATGAGACTGAATTTTTACTATGTGACAGTGATAATTTTAAGAAAAATGTTGTTCATCTTTATTTTAGAATGCCTGAAGAATATTTACTAATTTTTTTTTTACAATAAGAAATCCCGTCAAACTCACGCAAAAGATATTTTCGTTTCAATAATTCGGTACCCAAACAAAATTCAACGAACGATTTGCAAAGCTAATTTGATAATAAATTGCGTCAAAGAACATGAGGGATATGTTTATATTATATAAGAATTGTGAAGAATATCATTAATAGTAAACTTACCCATTTCGGTCACAATTCATGATGTCAATGCACTGACCTCGCACAATGTTCAGTAAATCCCAAGTCAATGGCCTTACCGAGGAAGGTATGCGGTCGAAGGGGCCTTAGATGGAATCGGCATGGTAAACACAAAATTCATTTTTACAACATTGTCGCCAAATACTAACCACTTAATCAATCCTCGACAAGGAGTTCACTTTCACGTCATTGTCACAAAACACTGGTCACTTAATTAATCCTTGGCAATCGGGAAAGATGTGCGGATGTTTTTTGGATTCCTTTCGTTGGCAGGCTCATAGTGCCATCTGCTTCCGCCTCCTCGAGAAACATGAAAATTGACATGATTGAAGACTTTTTGTACGAACACAATGACACTTAACAATTAGGCATTCGTTAAAGGTAATGGAGAAATAAGGATAGCTTAGTATAAAGTAAATAACAACAATAAAACACAAACTTTCATCTATTATCAACGACACACAAGTGAAAAATCAAAATGTTGCATGGAAAAATGTTTCCGATCAGTAGAAATACTGGGAAGAAATGTCCGATCATGGCACGAATGTATGAAATACATTGGAAGATGAATATAAACGCAGAAGGTCACCGGGCAGCAGAAATGTAAACAGACATTCGATACTTTTACCTCCACGCAAACAGTGAAATTAAGAATCATTGAGCTTCTCGAGAATGGGAACAATCAAGGAGAAGTGTCAGAAACTGTAGGGAGCAGCCACAGCATTATTAGTGATTTAAGAAGAAAATATGAGGCATCAAAGAGTGTATCTAATCGCAAAAGGGATGGCCGTTCCCGTGCAACAAATTTACGAAACGATCGACAATTGCGCAAAGTAGTCAAAAATATGAGATAAACAACTTTGAATGTACAGTTGGCACTAAATATTTCGGATTGTACTGTCAGAAATCGTCTATACGACGGATTTTTCATTTTGGAAAGCCAAAACAAAACCATACCTCACCAAGAAGCATTAGAGCAATATTCAGTGATGAGTCCTATGTATGCATTGGCATAGGAGATGATACATGGATATTTGTATGGCGAACGTCGAATGAAAATGTGAATTCAGAATCATACATTCATATTTTAGAACATTTTTTAATTCCTAGCATTGAACACTGGTCCGAAGATTCGTTAAATTTTATTTTCCAAGATGGTAATGCCAGCTGTCATCGCAGTCAGGTGATAAAAGACTACTTACCACATAAAAACATTAAAACAATGAAATGCCCAACGAACAGTCCTGGTCTCAGCCCTATTGAAATCATATAGGCAAAACTTAGAAAGCTTATCAATGAGAAACGGCTAGAAAACAAAATCTTCGTCAGGCTATCCAAATATCATGCGAAGAAATTTGACCCATGGTCTGCAAAAACCTTATTAAACCCATGCCGGGACGTATGAAAGTTGTAATATCGACACGTGGGGAAGCATCAAAATATTAATAATTAATACTTAAATGTTTCACACTTCATACATTCAAAGAGCTATTTATTCAGGCCATAATCGGAAACTTTTTTTCCAGTATTTCTACTGAGCGGAAACTTTCTTCCAAGCAACATTTTGTTTTTTCATCGATAATAACGTATTTATGTTGAAAGAAAATTTTAACTTTAGCATTATATATATTGAAACTAAACTTCACTAAATATTAATTAATTACAATAAAATACGAACTTCCACGTATTATCGACGACAAACCAATGTGTCTAATTTTATTATATAATTTTATTATTTAATTAAAATTATATAATAAAATTAGACATTGGTTTGGCGTCGATAATAAATGGGAGTTCGTGTTCTCTATTGTTGTTACTTACTTTATACGAAGCTCTTCTTAATTCTCTATTATTTTTAATTACAAAGAATATTACTTTACACTTCAAAACAAACAATGGTTTTAGTAAACGTTAAAGCGTTAGTAACGCTTCTGATTAGAAACTTTTTGCCAGGGGTAGTATAAGCGGATTTTCGCAATATTTCTTTGCAAATATCTCCGAAACTAAATTCGACTGCTGAATTTTCAAAAGGAAAAGGTTATTCGTAATATTGTCGTTTATAGCATGTTTTAATGCCGTCGAAATGTGTGAAAACACAGCTTTTCGACAAGTTGACCCCACAAACTGAAAAGTTTCTCCGTCGATTGCAGAATTTCTTTAATAATTTTACTAAATTTAAACAAATTCAAGGACATTGATATATCATGTCTAATCTATTCAAATTATTGAAGAAATTCTGCAAATATTTATCGAGAAGTTTCTTATTTTGTTAAAATAATATTAATTAATAATAATTCTGATGTTCTCTAGTTACCGCTTCTTTTCCGTAAAGTGTTCGTGCACACGACGCATAGTAATTAGTAATGTATGTACCAATAAATATCGACTTTATTTACATAACACTCACAAATAAGCCTAATATTTCAAATTTCAATAATTCATTTTTTATGAAAAATAGTAACAACATATATAAATTCTAATCAAACAAGTTATAGTAAGACATTTAAATAAATATAATATCGACGAAATTGAAAATCAATATTATACCTTTTCCAATCAAGTATTCTAAATTAGTTTAAGAATTGTTGTGTGATGCGTTCTTTGAATCGATCTGCTATGCTAATGTTGAAATACTGTACACGAAAGAAGATTGAGCATATTGTTACGCACAGTCAATGAAGGAACGATTTCTGATGATTTGGAGGAAACTTGAATAGCGTTAATATCCTCTCAGGTGACAAACGAGGGGAAGGCGCTGTGGGATGTCCCGCGTTCTGATGCCGTTCGACAAATTATCTTACCTCCGTTTCGCTCGAATGCTATGAAAAATAGCCAATAGTATGACGAGGCATTACTGTTGATCGATACACTCCTCTCTTTATATCGGAATAATTAAGTGTCGACATCAAATGTGTTACGTTATACAGGATGATTCACCTACATGTGTCACCTAAATTACTTGTCACCTGTTTGTTATATGAACAACTTTTTTAAACAGAAGTTTTATGGTATTAAAAGGGCTATACCATGTAACAATTAATTTGTTGACATGTTGGTTTTTTATCGAGATATGAAGATACCATTGTAATGTAAAAATCTTTTATTTGATAAAATTAAATCTTTTATTTGAAACATTTTTTCATGTAACATACAGGTCACTAGGTTAGGTACTACACTTAAATGAATTATTCTGTATAATAATTTTCGTAGTAATCATTCACATGTGTAACTATGTATATACAATTTTAAATATTTATAAAATAGCTAAATTGCAAAGACATTTTCATTTGAATTCAAGAGAGAAATCTCAATAATTAGTTGATAAATTATCACGATTAGTAGTTTTAATTAAATAAGGTACATACATTTTATTTACTCAATATTTTATTAACGATTTACCGACTGTTTCGATGGATTATTTATTATTTATTATTATTTCATGCCTTTGTGTTTTCTCGTTTAGTTGTAAGCTTACCTGTTTGAATTTACAAACGGATATCGTAGAAAATATGATTCTCCGCATGACTTTTAGTTTACATGGAAATGGGGTACCATTATAACATCCTTAGTACCGGTTGGCACCATGACATAACAGGACGCTCAATATGGAACAGCAGAGCACGTTGTATTGTGGCTTACTAACATTGCAATTATTTATTTTATTGTTATACCATTTAAAATAGACATCTAATATAGTTCACATTATTTTTATTGTTTTATTACATTACACATTAATCTAGTACAAAACACATATGTAATGATTTGTTTACTTCAACTTACGACTAGAAGTGTTTAAAATAATGTCTTTTGAAAAACAATATTCTTAACAGAAGCTGAATTTCGATTTAGTTATTTATGTATGTACTATGTATTTAATTTTTTCTTTAAATTAATGAAACACCCTTTG